CCCCCCCCTGGTGTTTTTCGACTTGTGATTTTTGGCAATGCCGGCGCTTCGCGAGTCCACCTAACTGCTGCTCGTGAGAATTGCAACTTAGTCCAGGCAGGTAGTCCGGGTAAAGATGAAGGAGTATTTTTCGATTCTAGGATTCAGATCATCAAAACTAAAAAATAATTAATTAGTAGAATCAGGTTGGCTCAAATTTCTATATGAATACTTTTTTCGAGTTTCTATTCAAACACTCGTCTTAAAAATAAATTCCAAACGTTTACAGTTTGATTATTGAACTGGCGCCAACAGGTATCACGGCAAATTACACTTAAGAGGTTTTTTTGTTTCAATAATTCTTTTTATGGAAATTTAAGTGTTGCTAGAGGAGCCACAAACTTTAACATTAAAAGAATATGATCTTATGCTACATGCCAAACGTCGAGTCAAAACATCAGAAGTGTTTTACCCAGGAAAAGAAAAACATCTATGCTATCACCTATTCAGCGGTCAACAAAAAAAATTACGAATCCCTCGGGAATCAGACTGAAGTTAATAAGCTATTGCGCCGCGTGTAATTTTGCCGAGTTGTTAGAGTGGACTACACGCGGATGGACGAACTACACTAGTACGAGTGTACTCCGTTAACGGAGTRCACGCGTGTTACACGCGCGTTACCGTGACATACATCTGGGCTGTACTGTAGATTTTGTATACTGTTGTATTAAATCAACTTGCCATAAAAAAATTTTTTTATGCCAGCCAAACATAGAAAGTTATACTATGGCAGAAAATATGTATCATTTGCGTGTGTTCCAAGAATTACGTCTTGATCTAGAGTCGCGCCCTTTAGTCTTTAAAAATAACACGCCCATATATACAAGATCAAATTTCGCTTCTACTTTGAATTCTTGACTTCGTGTAAGTCACAAAAATTGATTAACTCGTGTTCATACGAAAACAATGTCAAACAAGTCTATTTTGAAGATTTTTTTTTTTTCAAAGAGAAAGACTCGTAAATACTCCATTATTGAAATTGCTAAAGGTTTGCTAATTGCCATCATCACGTGCTTTTGATTTGCAGTCGCATTCGATCCATGATGCACATAGTCGCCATGCGACGTACAAAGTCACAAAAGGTGAATGGGAAGCCTTTGGTGGAGCTACCAGATCGCCAACTCTTCATCCAACCTGTTGAGTTATCTCTTGAAGAAAGGAAACTTTATGATTCAATGGCTAACGAGGGCAAGCTCCTCATTGGAAAGTATGTCCAGCTTTATTATATTTTACTAATTGTATCCTTCTATTGGAGACCATCTTGTGACGTAACTCAATCATGTGATCTGATAGTCCAAGGTGATTATTGAAAATAATATAAGCAAGCTACTTATCGTGACTGTCTGTCGCGTTTACTTCCAGCTATGTAAGATCTGAAGCACTTTTTCAAAATTATGCTGATGTCCTTGCTATCTTGATGAGACTGAGACAACTGTGCTGTCATCCAAGGCTTTGTGCCAGTGCATTGGCACTGTTGTCAGGTAATTAATCATTTGCTGCACAAAAACTCTAACAAAATCTATCATCTATTACTGAACCAATATTATCTCTCGAGTTACTTGAAAAAACTAAAATTTCACCCTCAAATTCTGTCATTTATTTATTTAATATATTCTCAACTGTACTCATTGACAGAGTCATCTAAAAGTGGCACCCCAGAAGAGCTTCGCCAACGCCTTATTGCATCTTTAATGGCGGTGCTTGCTACTGGTGTGGACGAAGAATGCCCTGTCTGTCTGGACTCGCTTGTCAATCCTGTCATAACCCACTGCGCTCATGTCTTCTGTCGTCCATGCATTGAGAATGTCATCAAGACTACCGATCATCATCAGGGACGATGTCCATTATGTCGGGGAGACATAAAGACCAACCAGTTAGTTGAAGTTCCCAATGAGGTGGAAGAATGTGGGTCAGCAGATGGTGAAAAATGGCAGTCCAGTAGCAAGGTAGAGTGCAAATATAAAAAAATGGCTTATAACCAATTTGTGAACGAGAAGCTTTTCAGCTGAATCATTCAGCGAATTTGGTAAATCTCAATGGGCCTTACTCACAAAGCAGAATTGTTTATTCTCATGAGAATAAAAACTTTAGCGCGTAGCTCCAGCGCTTGTGGTCCTGTTGTGCTGCCTGTGTTTTATACAGCGCGCGTGAGGTAATACTGAGACGATGTCTACATAGAACACAATAATAGATGGGCAAACCAAGGGAGCACGGCAAAAATAAATTTGTTGATTGTTCTTCCTGTTGTACATAATTTAATTGATTGGTCTTCCTGTTGATTGTATGGACGCGCATGCGGTTTCTTAAAAGTCGCTATTTTTCGCGGAAAACCGCATTCGTCAGCCTACGTCATTACCACAGGAAGACCAATCATTAAATTTATGTCTGCCCTGCTCCCTTGGGCAAACTTGATATTCGGTGTCTATTCTCAATCCTTGCCATTCACTTCGGAAGTGACGTCTTCTGAAAACAGCCAATAATTGTGATAAATTTCCTTAAGACCTATTAAGACTGTAAGACTCTCATTATTTATTTTGACATAAATTCATTTTTCAGGTTGATTGTTTGATGGCCAAACTAGTAGAGCTAAGAAACAAAGATCCAACAATCAAGAGCTTAGTCATTTCGCAGTTCACTTCTTTGCTTAGCCTTATCGAGGTTCCCCTCAATGCCCAAAAGTTTTCGTACGTTCGTCTTGATGGCTCCATGTCTCAGGCAAGGCGAGCGGAAGTCATTGATGCCTTCAATAAATCCAACCCAGACTCCCCGACTGTGTTCTTGTTGTCACTGAAGGCGGGAGGAGTGGGGCTTAATCTTACTGCAGCTTGTCGGGTGTTTCTGCTGGACCCGGTGAGTTAATGCTACTAACTAGTAAAGTAATCGTAAGGGGGCTATCATTTATTAGCGTATTTGGGGGGTCGGCAAAAACGTAGGGGGAGGGGGGGTTATCACATATTGAGGGGGTTGAGAACTATTGCAAGGTGATGAAAGGGTGGGGGTTATGCAATTGCTTCCTCTACCATTGGGGAGAGGGGGGGGGTATGTTTGTAATGCTTTCCATGTGATTTTGCCAACACCTACCCCCGATGTACTAATAAATTAAATACCCCTAAGGCTTGACGACCTACTATTCTTTTTAGCCTTGCTTCTTGTGTTTTCCTTTGTTGGTTACTTGTACAAACCTAGGGTATTTCGATTCTCTTAGCCTGAGCGACTTACCAGCTTTGTGAACATTTTTTTTGTCGCTCAGTTATTTCTAGTTACACACGAAAATTTTAAAACGTGAAACTATTTCTGCCTTTGGAAAACATCTTAATCGAAAGCAAATTTTGCTGTGTCGATAGAAATTATTTCTTTCTGACGTGAAGAAAATTCGATTTTTTTTATATCTTGCTCGCCCGGATTTGAAATCGCAAAGTTGCATCCTTCGTCGTTTGTTGGTGATTTAATTAATGTCCAATTTCCCCTCATTGGTACAGGCATGGAATCCTGCTGCAGAGGAGCAATGCTTTGATAGATGCCATCGTCTTGGACAAACTCGTGATGTAATCATCACCAAGGTAACGAAATAATTCCATTTTATATTCTTATCAATGTCCAGAGAATTTTTCTTGTGCGAAATGGTCAGTCGTACGCTTTAACAGTGCGGGATAGTAAGAATGCACAAATAACTACTCATTCCCTCTATCAGATTTTTTTCTTAAAGAAATTTAAGAAGAAGACTATGGTTATTGGGTTTTCATCTATTATGGCATATGGGTTTGGGATATCATTTGATGTGTTTCAAAAGATGCAACCCTTTCCGTGGTGGGTCAGAATTTTATACCCACACACCACACCCCTTATTTTCGCACGCCATCCTCCCCTTAGCATTAATTATAGCTTGGGATATTTATGAGACGACCCTTTTTCCTAACAGTTTGTGGTGAAAGATTCCGTAGAAGAACGCATGTTAGATTTGCAGAAGAAGAAAAGAGAACTCATGGTAGAAGCATTCAAGAAGAAGACCTCAGTAGAAGATCGACGAAAACAAAGAATTAACGAAATCAAGGCTTTGATTGACCTCTGATTTAACGATCTGTAAAATGTGCCTAGACTTTGACCATGTTGCGAGGTCAAGTTTACCGAGATTCTGCATTTCACGATGGAAAAGGTCTTCCTAGTTTCAATGGATGTTTATGGGATTGAAAATGGTTCCAGTTATTTATTCAAAAGAATGCTTCATGCAGCAAGACTGTCAGAGAACTTTAAGCTAAAGTTATACTGCATCAACGTCACGTTATCGAGATTCCTCGAAATCACTGAACATTTATTTAAGATGTTAAAAATAAATAGTTTCTCAAAATGAAACAATGTTAGACTAGACCTTCATTCAAAGAATACGGAATTTCTCAGCTGTCTCTCAAAACCACACGTTATACAACAGAAAGGAGTTAAGGGAAAGACCATTAGATAATTGAGGAAGGGGTTGCGTGAATCCCAAAAAAATATCAAGCACTTCACGTACGGAAAAAATATCGCGCAACCTCTTCTCTCAATAAAGAAATATCAAGCAAACACAAAAACCATTGCGTGTAGGGGTTGTTAAGAAAAAATAAATATCGCGCAATATAAATTCCTGCAACCTCCCCTCAATCAGTTATCCAATGGTCTATCCCTAATAGAGAATATAATAGGTTTGCGGTACATACAGAAGGACCCCAAATTTCCCCATATGTCAAATAATCACTGAAATATTTTGCATTTGTTCTCGCGTATTCTTATGGTATAGAGGTTTTGCACCATCACGTGACGGCAGCCATGTTAGATGGCAGGAACAATACGATCGTTTTTATGAGAAAGAATTCAATTCCCGAGAGCACAGGGTTTTTATGGTTCTGCCATCTAACCACAGGCAGCCTAAGCTGGATTATGGCGCCGGCACATGATGGTGCAAAACCTCTATTCTTGGTTTGCACATGACCTCATAGCCGCCATCTTGGTTCAATTTCGTTTTAACAAAAGACTCGTCATTGAATTCTTTTATTATATCAACCAACATAACCAACGTGGTGTTATGTCACTTTGGGAATGATTGAAAACCAGCAATTGAGGTCATATAAACTCAAATAAGTCTGGTTTGCTCCACTATACCATATGTATTAGTAACATATTTCCACTCGTGGTACATGCCCAAACTCATCAAGGAATTAAGATCCTTGATTTCGACGTAAAATACTTCGCACGTGACTTGCCAGTTGTTATTTATTGATGTACAGCATTAGTTTAGACAAACTAATGCTCATATTAGTAAAAGGTTTAAAATATAAATCAAAGTTTTTTTCCCAAGCCATTATCATCAGGAAAAATAATTTTGAACTTACCCGAAGAGACACTTTATGGGGCCATGTGATCACGTGGCAGGGTCACATCCAAGACCACGTAGAAAAATACCTGGTCGTCAAATGTCGTGGAAACATACTTCTGTCCCCTGGTCCCCATGTCCTTTCTTGTAATCGCAGACCTATTTTCTAAAATGTTTTATAACATGTATATATATATTTTTTTTTTTCAAATGTTCAATATATATCCCAGAAAACATTATTAACATTATTGGTCACTTCTAAAGACACCTCAATGTTATTCTAATTATATCTAAACTAGTACTTCCTTATGGGTATGCGTTTACAATCCCATTGTTCATTGACCTCTTGTCAATTATCGTCGAGACTGGTGTTTGCAACTGACAGCTCGTAGTTGTCTTTCTGACCTTTTAAATGTTCTTTCTGATTGGCAGCAGCAGGATTTGGTTGAAATTTAGGATTTCCCGACTGGGCGATGTGCCTTAGCCTGAATTACTATTATTTCCTAAAATTCTAAAAGTCATGAGTTGGCTGTACTCTGATCAAGGCGATCATTTCCGTTCTGGTGCAACCTTGGTGACGTGCATGGTGTGGCAGCACATAAGCGCTAATTCATAAGCCATAAAATGAAGTGTCGTAAGGAAGTTAAACGACGCGGTACGCAGAAAGAAAGACTTCCAGTGCGACAGCGAGCAGCTTATGGTGTCGGTCACATCCTCAACGATCTCACATCGAGCGTCTCGTTCACATATCTCGTCATCTACTTGACAAAGGTAGCGCAACTTTCCAACCGTTACACAGGACTGGTCATCTTGTTTGGGCAGATTGCCGATGCCATATCTAACTGGACAACTGGGATTGTTAGCGATAGGACAATATCTCGGTATGGCCGAAGAAAGAAGTGGCATCTTGTTGGAACACTTACCGTTACCGCTTGTTTTCCATTGCTCTTGATCCGTGTTCTTGACCCTCAAACATCTGAATTGCTCAGGTTTGGGTATTTCGTAGTTGTTATATTTGGATTTCAGTGTGGTTGGGGATGTGTACAAGTTAGTCATCTGTCTTTGATACCAGAGATTTCAAACCAGGGGGACGAAAGAATGGAGTTGAACGTCATAAGGTGTGAGGAAATTTTAAATTAACCACAGGTAGCCCAAGCTTGGTTTCTGTGGTGTCCTGACTAAGGAAATGTATGGAGATTCATCAAAAAATTTCAATAAAATCATTGAAACGTTAAATAAGGCCTCGAAATTTTACCCGATCATTGAGAAATAGCACTTCTTTTGAACTGCGTGGTTATTTTTTGAATTTAGCCCGTTTTAAGATTTTTTTTCCCCACCAGCTAAATTCAAAAAATAACCACACAGTTCAAAAGAAGTGCTATTTCTCAATGATCGGGTAAAATTTCGAGGCCTTATGTAATGTTTCAATGATTTTATTGAAATTTTTGATGAATCTCCATACATTTCCTTATAGCAGGACACCACAGAAACCAAGCTTGGGCTACCTGTGAATTAACACTACGATATTATGTGCGATTATTCACCGAGTTAAAATCGAAATGATTCCTGATCGTAAAGCTGTATCTTTTCTCACCCCTGCGGGGATCGGAAATGAATACAGCCGCTTTCACTCGTAAAATTATCCGGCTGTAATACACAACTTACAGTTTAATAACCTCTATATTATCACTGGTCCCTTGACCAATCATAGCGCGCGAAACTCTAAATTCAAGAAATGATACTAATATCTTGTATAAACAGTAGCCTCGTTCAGACCAAGAATTTTTTGACGCTGCCACGGCCGTTTCAGATCATACGAGCCTCCTCTTTTGGGCTCTGAACATCCCGTATCCCGCCCCGTTTCCTCGTTCCAGTTTGGATTTCGCTATAGATCCCTTCGGTATCCAGGCCATCCTATTAATACTCCCTACTTATCCTTGCCCTTATTTTCTGACTCAAATACCCCTAAAAACTTTGTTTTTCCCTCAGATACTCTGAATACATATATGTTATTTACCGGCCAGGAGGTCCGGATAGGGAAAAACTGTGCCCGAGGTCTTGAATATCCGTTTTCAAGACAGAGGGCACAGTTTTTCCCTTTCCGGACCGACTATAGGACGGTAAATAACTTATTCATTTTTTCCCCGTATTTTTTTACTTGTTTTTGTAATCGTTTTGTGTTGTCGTTTAGCGGCAAAGGATACCGGACCGCGCGAGCGGGCAGATACTTACAAAATACCGCCCGCTGAAACAGCTAATCAGAACGCACGATTTTTTAGGATACCGGACCGGGAAAAAATAAATCTTAATATGGCCTCATGCCATTTATGAAGAACAGCTGTCGCCCTATTTTAGACTACTGACTTTTCGATTCCCTTGACTTTTCAATTTCTTATCTCTGCACCGTGCAACTGAGAATGATTCTATAAAAACTATGAAATTTAAGAATTGAGCGTACTGTAACCTGTATATCGATATCTCTGTTGAAGAAATAGAAAACGCGCGCGCGTGTTGTGTGCAGTTATAAAGCTCGCGGGCCACTGGCAAAAGGCACGAAAAGTATTAAGCACGACGCATAGCGCAGTGCTTATCAACACTTCTAGAGTGTTTTGCCAACCCCTAAGTGCTCTATAACTTCACACAGCACAGCAAGCAAGTTACTTCTTTTTTATAATTTACAAATTAGAGTAGCCGCTACTTTTTTGAAGACGAATGAGGTAATGGAAAGTGCGCGTGTGCTGTATACTGTCATAATGCACGCGCTCCCATTCATTCAATAATCAATAATTAATTATTTGTCATAGGACTACTCTGACATTTGTATGTGGCATTTACGTCTACTTAGTGACGTGGGTTTTACTTGGTCAAAGCTCTGAGCGGAAGATTACTCCAAATGTATGGAAGGAATTCATGGTGAGTACAAGGCCTGGAAGGGGAAATCAGCGAGAGTAATCATCAACATCACATGCGCATCGCAATCATTATATCCTATTCATCATCATTGTTTGCAACAGCAACATCAACATCATCATCATCATTAACTGCATCAACATCACAATCTGTATCATTTGCATCACCATTTGCATCCTCATCATCATTATCGTCATCTGCATCATCTTCCATAATTTGCATCATCATTTGCACCATCATCATTTTGCATCATTACCGGCATCATTATCTTCATTTGCATCATTATCATTTTACTTGCATCATCATCTGCATTATCATTGCATCAACATTTCACTTACATCACCATCTGTATCATCATCATCTGCATTATCATTGCATCATCATCATCATCATCATTTCACTTACATCATCATTTCTATTGCATCATCATCTGCATTATCATTGCATCATCATCTGCATTATCATCATCATTTTCACTTGCACCATCATCTGCATAATGCAAGATCCAACCAGTTGCACTCGTTACCACTATCCATTATTTTATTAGTGGTTACCTTTGCATATTTGCAGTATTTGTCTTTCATCATCTTGATAACTGGTAATCTGTGCAACATCATCTTTCACGTCATCATCAAAGAACCATCTTCCCCAGGATTTTTAAAGAAACAACAGGAAAAACATTCTGCGTCGAATTTGGAAAAAGATGGTAAGTATACAGCTATTTCAAAAACGTTTGGCAAAGGTTTTCTGGAATGTTGTATGTGGAAAATCCCCATCAGAGAAAGCTTACAACAATATGGAATCTCACCAAACCCTGTCTGCACGTTTTTGCGGCATATTTGTTTTCTGTGCTGATATTATTTACACACGAATATAATACATTCCAAACTTGGAAAACCGCAGCATGCAGCAAGCACGAAACGAAACTTTCCTCACCAACCTCAAATCCAATCATGCATTTGGCCCGGCATTTCAAAGTGCCAAAAGGGACAAATCTTTCGATAAAATAACTATAGTCAGCTTGCATTGATTTTCTAAAGGAATTATTCTGGGGACAAAAAGACAGACCGTCTTTTCTCATGCAAAAAACATCCATTGTTTTGTCCCCCAGAAAAATTCCTCTCGGGACTCAGTGCAAGGGGTCTATAGTTTGCAAGTTTGATCGTCCAGTTCCCTTAAAGTATGAAGGCGTAACAAAAATGAATATCAATGAATTAGTGTCGGTCCCTCCGATCGAAACCAATGACGACTGTGAAGGAGACTACGTATCACCACGTGACTTTAAAAAGGCCAATATCCAAGTTCATCTTAGTTCATGTTGATATACTAATAATTACAATCTTCATTGTTTCTAACCTTTCATAGAAAACGTGCTGGAAAATCTTGTCTCCAATTCCAGGAACGAAGCAGTAGAAGTGCTTGCCAGTGAAGACGATTCTGTCGACAAAAACACCAATAAACTGAGTACGAAAACTAAGATACAATGGCTGAAGACCCCAGCGTTCCTAAAGGTATCTAACAACTTGTATACACTGTAGCGCAATGGGGTTCTCGTACTACTACACCTTAAATAAAAAAGTAAGGAAAAAAGAAAACAAACATCTTTATTCATTTAAATAATAGCATTTTTCATGGTTGTACTTGTGCCTTGTGGGATCGAAATGCGGACAAACATTGTAAATAAAGGCTTCGATTACATGGAAATGAATCAGTTGAAAAACCATACTTCTTCCATGAATTGGAAACAACAAAGGCTATAAAACAGTGTTGCAGCCTGGCTCTTGGCTTGGCTTGTCAATTCAATCCCATGATGCACAATTGACGCCATTAGTGGRAAACGCTATTATCAAACATTTAGCATGCCCTCCCCCCTCCGCCAGTGCCTCACCCTCCCTACCCTAGTGTTCCGTTTAATTTTACACAGTTACTTTCTTTCAGACTGCATCGATTTATGTGTGTTCTAGAGTAGTGATCAGGATATCGCAGACCTATCTTGCCATCTACCTCACGGAAACACTGGACTTTGACAAGGTAAGCCTATTTTCTTGCTACATAGATTTTACGAAGAAAAATGTTGTCGGTCGGAGATCTAAATCTGAATTCTGAGAGCGAATTGAATTGTGGGATTTATGCTGTGAATTGTTTTATCGTTTGAATTAATAGTTCCAACAAGTTAATATCTAAATATGCAGCCTTCGAGCGATAACCTGCGTTGATGAAAAATCTGGCAAAGTRCAGTCGGGCAAAGCTTATTTTTAATTAATTTTTTAACGAGAAAATACCCACAATTCCACTCCGTCTCATATTCTTCGATCTGTGACAGACGTTTTTCGAAACAGGTTCTAATGGAAATCTCTGTTTGATGTAAGGTTTGATTGGTATCATTTCAGGAAGCGACTGCATACTTTCCTCTAGTGGTTCTGGTAAGCTGTGCAGTGTCCAGTTTGAGTATTAAACCTTTGAGTGCAAGGCTTGGGCACAAGGTGATTAGACTGTTATCTACTCTACTGTTCGTCGATATGCGGTAGTAATGATAACTATGCGGCTATTAGCTCTATCAGCTTTACACGTGTAATGAGCTTCTGGGAGAGCTACAATTATTATCTATAGACCCCGGTATTTTACGCCAAAGCAGCTCAATTTGGAGGACAAAACAAAAGAATTTCAATCTTCTGTGAATTGGAAACGAACTATTGTTATGTTCTCAAAAATTGAGCTGCATTGATTCCGTCATGCTACAAGGGGTCTACATTACCTGGTGATTACGGTTCCCCCCTACGAGAGTGTGAAGGGGGTATCCGATTGTCAATTAACTACTATTTTTTAAGCAATTGTTATTAAACTGTTAATAATATTCCAAACGTTCACCACAATGTTAACTATATCGAAAGGCCTAAAGAGCCTTGTATTGACATACATTAGATTCCGGGGGGGGGGGGATAATGTGGTCTTCTAAGAAATATCAGATTGAAGCAGGTGCTCAGGTAGATTGTCTGAGTAACTCAATTTTACTGACCAGCGGTTACTATAGTGTGGAAGAACTAAAGCCCGAAACTTCCAATCTTTTTTGCACAGTGTTCTGTGTTCAATCTCCTTCTTCACTTGTCGTTAAACTCATAATTATTTCATTCTCATTTCAGATATCATTTTTGATTGGCACATGCTGTAGCCTTGGCGCAAGTGCATGGTTCTTTATACAAACTGTGGAAAGCCGTAATGCTGTTTATGCGGCGACGGTTCTCATAGGCAGCGGTAGCTCCATGATGCTAGTCACGTCTTTGTCTATGATCGCCGATCTTATTGGCGATGACAAGGTTTCCATTTATTCTACTCATTCGTACGACCGCTGGCTGACCCCTGTTTGGTCGCAAAAAGGAGTTCAATTTCATGACAAACTGAAGAATATTTGGCTCTTCAAATAGACCTTTTTCAAATTCATAAAACAACGCGGTGTTCGGCCTTGATTACAGTTTCATTTCGATATGGCAAAAAACTCACAAATACCAAATCAAGGGCGGATCCRGGGTTTCTTGAAGGGGGGGTATCAGGGGTAAATTTTGTGGGCAAAGGAATCCCAGTCGCATTTTTACCACAGGAAGCCCATTTGACCTCAGGAATGACAGGGGGGTCGCGACCCTCCCGACCCTCCCCCTGGATACGCCCTTGAAAATGAAAAAGTACTCAGATTAATTTAAAGCCTGACTTTTCCCTTATTGTTCATAGTATTTCAAATTTTTCCGACAAATTTTCACGCTTTCTCACCGTTTGTTATCATTAGTCATCAGGTGCTTTTGTTTACGGTGTGTGCGCCCTCACTTATAAGCTGACCAGCGGTGTTGTCATAGCAATTATACAAGAACTGAATCCACAAGAACACAGCGTGTAAGTGGATGGATAAACATGTAACTTTGCTTGATGAAGTGTTGATTGGTATCCTAATGATATTTCTTTGCCAGGTTCCTCATTGCGCGTTTGCAAGGTCACGTGATGGGACTATCAGTATTCAATAGCCCGCTTCCGAGATATGCTTCGCTTGTCACGCACAAAGGTTTCAGTACGAGGCTACGTGCTAATTGCTCAGTCATTCGTGACAGGCGGTAAGAATTAATTTAATTTAGCACGTAGCCTCATACTGAAACCTTTGTGCGTGACAGGTGAAGCATATCTCGGAGGTGGGCTATTGCAGTGAAATTAGAAATAGAAAACCTTGATTTCCAACTTGTCATCTCACCTAGTGTTAATATTCAATGATATGCAATCGGTAACAGAAAATCTTCATTTCCAAGTTATAATCTAATAATGATGATTCAATGCATGATATTTTAGGTTTTTCCTCTTTCTTATAATCCAGGAAGGAATGCGGCCTGGAATGCGGCCAATATGTTCGACTGGTTTACAGTATTGTACCTGGAACATCAGCGATGATCGCATTGATCATAATGACTCTTTGTTTTAAGTCCCAGCTTGATTGTAAAATGAGAGGTAAAATGATTAACTCCATAAACTTGTGATTGTTTAGCAATCTTCTTTTCATTCTTTCTTTTTCTTTTCTTCTCTTTCTTCTTCAGTCTTCTTTTTTACTTTCTTTTACTTCTTATTCTTCATTTTCTGCACCTTCTCTTAGCTTGTCATGTTGGCATTGCATTCAAGGTGTGTCCCGGTACTTAGTACAAATATAAAGCATGATTTCTTCAAGTATAACGTCATATTTTTTAACTTTCTTTCCTTATAGCGATAGTCCTTGATGTTGAAGTACAAGCAGATTTGGATAAAGAATTGCCATGGGTGAAACGGTCCAGCCAAGAGAATCTCAAAACAAGAAATTCCGTAAGCATGGAACAAAAGAATGAAAGTGATCCTGATACCGTTCAAACTAGTGGGTACCATAGCAACAGAATGACGCAATCGATTGAAACTAGGTATGGAAATAGGTCACATGATATCTCGTGATATCCCTTTGATATGATATAGAGACTTTGCAGCATCACTTGATGGCAGCCATGACAGGACGCGCAACAATAGATTCTTTTTCGCTTGGGAAACTGAATTATTTCTCATGTAAAACAGATTAGACCAGATTTAATTGTTCCTGCCTCCTGTCATGGCTGTCATCGTTTGATGATACAAAGCCTTTGTTAATTATCTATGCACTTAATCCCTACCTGGGGGTCAACAGCATCAAAATATTAACATTCTAAAAAGATTTTAATCCCCAAGAGAAGGGAATTGTTTTGTTTTGACCCCCAGATTGTAACTTATAATTACTGCAAGGGGTAATTATACCCTAAATACTGACATTTAAAATATATGTTCACATCCTCTATTTATCACACAAATAAGAATTAAATTTTAAACTACTCTTTTAGTGTTTAATCATCAACCAGCCGGCTTGGACCAGATTGATGATCGCTGACCAGAAGATGTGAGGGCGCATGCTAAACCATCATATCTTCCAAATTTCTCTATGTCAGTTTTCATTTAAAACCATTGGAATTAGCAAATTTCCGATGGTATCTTGTGTTATGTTCTCTTATTTACAACGATATGACGTCAACAGTTGGTCATAATGTGGCACTAGCAGTAGCCACTGTTTGGGGCTCTGATGGGCCGGCTTGGACAGAGTGCGAGGGTTTCTATATATATATATATTTCTATATTTTATGTTTGGAAATTCATTGTAAAGCGTTATAGAGTGAAATATATAACGCTATAGAAATTCATTAAATTATCATTATTATTATTATTATTATGGCTCTCTACCAATCAGAAAGCGAGAAAATTTAACTTTGTGATAAAAAAATGTAATGGGCAAAAATTTAAATAAAATTAAACAGTGGTTTCACAAAGTGCCTCTTCTTCCACTGACTAAAACATTGGAGTATTACATGACATTGAAATATTAACGTAAAGCCAAATCCTTTGACCAGACTTAATTTTCTGATAATAGTATTTTTTTAATGATACCAGGATGGGTTTTGTTTAATTAATACTGTCTTATAAAGGTATAAATTATGTACCTGTCATTGTAAATTACGACACACTTGAGGACTCGTTATAAAAATCATTAGAGCTTTCATTAAGCTAAATTTTCAAAGGGGCACTTGGATGAAAATGGATAAAAATTGGAAATGACTTTAAACTTAGTTAAAAGTATCTGTATGGCCCCAATAGTAGCCAAGCAACATATTTTCTTCACAGTAAAAAGTGGGGAATAAAAATTATCAGTTTTATTCAGCATCTAAATTGTGATTGAATGACTTCATTTATTCAACCCTATCATTGTTTCTGCTTTTGAACCAAAATTTCTCAACTGCAAATGAATCCTAGGCCAAAATGTTTACTAATCTGATTTACATAATCATAACGGAGTCATATCATCCTCATATGCTTCAGTTATTCGGACTTCCAAAAATTGGGGCGTTTTCATCCAAGTGCCCCTTTAATTTTAAAAATTCTTAGTTTGCCATGCCAAACTTTATTGAGCGATCAATATTGATAATGATCATGATGAAACCCTGTCTTCTTATCCCTGGCAAATAAAGTACAAAGAGGCCCTGAATTTTGAGTAAGTCCAGTGTATGAAAAGTTGGCCGAACAAGGAGAGCGCGCGAGTGGTATGCTCTGCTAGTTCGATTCGCAGGCGCCGTGTCGAATGTAAGTAGAGTTCTAGAAGGTTCTCTTATGTGCTTCGAGGGTTTTTCTTTGGGTTCTTCGGGGTTGTTTATTTTGCTTCCTCTTCAGGAGCGTATCCCCCCTTTCAGCCATATATAGATTCATTTGATCAAAGTAATGGACTTGCAGTAAAACGATTTGCTCTAGATACGTGCGACAAGTCAGTACTACCACAAAAAGCTATGTATTTTCTCTTCATGTCATAAAATTTTTATATTTATTTAAAACTACGTACTTGAGGAAGTAATCAACTTTTTTGATAAGGGTTTCAAGGACGTAATGAATTCAAAAACAGGTGGACTAGTAAACTTAATGTAAGCTCAAGGACCTGCCAGACCTCTACCTATATCGATTAAAAATATTTCAAAAGAGGTAAGTTATTTTGATAAAACAACTTGGGTTAATGACAGTAGATGGTCGTAGTTGTCGTCCGTTATTTATAACTACTTATAAGTTACATGTTTTACGTGTAGACACAAAAACAGTATAAAGAATGGTGACTGATTACATGTAAGCTAGAATGAGTTATTCAAAATTCCGAAAATAAGAATTTTTATTGTAGTTAGCAACTAAAAAAAATGATAAATAACTCTATCTAGGGAGTAAAATATTTGTTGAAAATTTATAACTTCTTGAATTTTAATGGGAAAAACTGAATATTCAGTAAATTTTATGAAAGCCTTGCACCATTAATTTACTTTCTTCCATTTCCCATTCCCAGCCACTAAATTCCATTGTCAGTACGTTAAACCCCATTTTTTACTGCAAAAATAAGTCAATTAATCCAACTTTTTTGTCACAAGGTTTTGACAACAGCTGCAACAGCATTGATAATCGATTCTTTAAGTTTTCGTTATATATTGCGATATTCAAGTATGAGTGGGTTGTCACCAATTCATTTTAAAAATCAATTCAACTTATCTGTGTACACACATATTACAAGTCTTATTATGACTTCAATCGCCACTGCGATAACGCCTCAAGGACATCAAAACACAAGTTCCCAAGACAATATTAAACAGGGTATGTAGAAGCTAAATCTTTAACGAGGAACCAGATATATGTTTTTAATATAACAGGAGTTTTATCGATAACAAATTGACGGAAAAAGTAGTAGTGTATGTAGGGATGTGAAACATCGTACATAATGAAAGTAAACTGATATGAACCGTCTACATTTCTTCATGGAGTAAATTTTTATAGCCTGTTGCTATAACAAAGTTGGGGCTTTTTCCACTTTCAAAAATATTGACAGAAATATTAGATAAGACAAAAAATGATTTAGACTAGTCAAATTTTTAAGTACTATATGAATGTCCGACCAATAGCGTGGAGTCAGTAGTAGGCTGCTTAACTTCGGGTTTATCAAATAGACTAACTAGTTTTTATTAACAACAGGATTTACTAAGCCATATTTTGATATCATGATCAAAACTGAATTTACAGATTGAGTCGACTTTAATGATAGTATAGGCACACAGACTTCGCCATTAAAAGGAAAATCAAATTGCCCCGATTTGGTGTCTTATGCGAGTATGTTTTTGGTTCGTTCTCTCTCGGGTTCTCCAGTTTTCCTCCCTCCTCACGAATCAACTTCATAAATTCAGTTTTATTCGATCTTTGGGCTTTCGCCTAGTTGGAGTCTAGCTCTGTTGTATATGACTGTCTCACGCTGTGATACAACAGCCAAAATTTAATAGACAAAAAAGAAGAAAAGGAAAGAAAATAAAGTGGTGAGCAATTCAGTAATACAAGATTTTTTTAAACATCAGTCCACTGCGGGTTAACATGGAAACTAGGGCCCACGGTTTAATTTTCTTATCCAAAAAGCGTGGATCATACTAGGTATAATACGCCAAGATTAAGAACAGATTTGTTCCCTGTGTGAATTTATTTGCATCGATTGCCTTCCCTTTTCATATTGCCTGTCACTGCCTCGTTCATGTAAGGAGCGCAAGTACGCCGAGACATCTTGCATGGTGTCACAAAAAGAAAGTCAAAAGCTAATATGAAATGGTCGAAGTAAAAAGTTATTTTCGATTCGTCCTCTGTCTGTCTGTCTGTCTGTATGTATGTCTCTCTGAATTCAATTCAGTCATATGAATGAGAGGAAACACACTAGTTCACTAGTTACCAAACTATGTTCTTGCAACTTGAAATCCCATTCTTAACAATACTGTAAGGCCTAGGGCAAACGTCGAACTTTCCATGCA